GTAAGAAACGAGCCGCTCTAAAAGGGGCCAGCCCAAGGTCAGTTCAGATTCGATCCCCAGACCACCAGGGTGACAGTCTCAGACGTAAACCTATTGGGCTGGCTCCTACTACAAGAATAGTAGGAGCACAAATCCCATATAAAGAGTATGGGGCTCAACCCCTCATTACTACTAGCAGCTCAGCAGGCCGTCACCACTCGCCTGTCGGCAGGCTGCTGGCTGGCCCCTACACACTCCGCACTCCACGGCAACTGGACCACCCTTTCTATCCTTCGGCGCGGACGGTAATGGCCCCCATCCCCTCTTTTCTTTTCCTCTGTTGCTTTTTGGCAGCCTCGTTTTCCTCCCCCTTTTTTTTTTTTTTTTTTTTTTTTTTTTKCMCYCCCGTCGGCCTGAGCCAGCGGTCACATTGCGAGACACCCCCAACTGTTGAAATGCAGGCCCGAGTTCAATCCCCTTGGGGATCAAAAAAATTAATTTGGGGCATTTCTCGATTTATGCATGTCATCCTTGCACAGGGGTCATGCTAATCTCGGCGCGCTAGATCTGGGTCACGCGATTTCCACGATCGTATGCCCGGATCTAGCCGCGCCGTCAGCAATGGCAATGGCCAGCTCCAAAGGGAGCTAGCCTGGTAGGCGCGTGCGGCCGGGTTCGATTTCAATATCTGTCGGGTAGCAGTTTGGTGGTGTAACCTATTGGGCTAGCTCCTATCACGCCAGTGATAGGAGCCACTCTTCTATAAGAAGAGTTAGCCCAGTCGCTAATCCCATGCCGTGGCCTTGCAGGCTCCTCCTGCCTCAGGCCCAGCCTACCTGCGGCCCCACAGGCCTCGCCTGCTTGTGGCCCCACATGCTTGACTGGCCGCGTGGCCTTGACATCGGCTTATCAATCCCCTAGCCCGGTGTCCACCCCCGCGGCCGGGAAATAAGACCCTTCTTCCTAATACCCCCATGCCGCGGTTATATACCCGATGAACGTAGGTCCTGAATCGCGCGGCTGTTATTTCAGGTAGACTAGGTCTAACTTTAGCGTTCTCATGTCTACACATTCCTCTGCGGTCTCAACAAGGCAAGCTCGTCCTGTTACTGCCACTACTCTCGGATGCTGCAGACGTCCGGACTAGGGTTCTAAAAAGTTTTTGTTTTTTGGTCATAGGTTAGGTTTGAATGAACTTTTGGCAGATAACCCATCTCATCAAGTTATGAAGCCCGAATAACCCTTTACTAAGTCGGACATCGTCCGACATTTAAAAACACCGGGCAGATACCCTTGTCAGGGTTTCGGCCCCGACAACGGGATTTTCCAATGATCCAACCACCTTTTACGGGCTGCATTAAAGTCATCGGTCATAATGATTGAAACTTTGTTGATGATGTAGGATCGAATGTCTTGAAATAATTGTTTCTTCTCATGTACCTTATTGAAATTGCATGTATTAATCACACAGACAAACTCTAATTTCAGCATTAATAGCGTAGTTACCCATCTAATCTCAACTGTCATGCCTTGCAACATTTTCTGTGTTTTTCACGCAAAGAAAAAAGTAAGGAAAAAAACAGTGTTTTTTGTCTAAGCACGCCATCAGCACCCGAGAGCATTTTTTATAAACTTTTAGCTCAAGCAAATTCGATGTTGTCGTGAATACCCTTACAAGGGTATTTGCTGTTGTTTTTGCAGATCGCACGGGATGCCACCGTGATGACACTAAGGGTATTGGCGCGTTAGCCTTCGCCCGAGCCCGTGCCTCAACAATCTTAGCCAAGGCGGGGGCCGAGGGTGAATAGGACTGGGAATAGGGAGAGTGCGTGGGCGCGTAGTTTTCAGGTGCGTGTGATTCCTCATGTTGACATTATGAACCGTCATTTTTAATTTTTTTTTGCGCCGGTTAATTTTTATTTTGATTAAAAATTAAGATTAGAATACCTCTGGTTGGTTCTCATTCGTGCGCGTGGAGACGATATTACCACAGTCGGCGTCGAATTTGACTGTCGGTGCCGCGTTTTAAAAAGTAACTATCTTAAAATTTATCCGAGGCAATGGTGGAGCCGTGTAGTGCATAGTACCATAGGGTGTCTTCTTTGTATTCACTCGTCATAAGGATTTATCCGCAACCTTAGAGTGACGTCTGGTATAGGTGAAAATTGGGTTTTTCCCTTGTCGCCAGGAATAGTAAAAGCGCGATTGTGGAAGGTGGCCGCTTGTACGACCCTGGAGCAGGAGTGATGAGATCTTGGTCTAATAGGTGGTGTGCACGGCGGCTATGAGAAGAACCAGGTGCTTCGTGCGGCGGGTGCTGGGGCTTGACGACCATAGGTCCAACTGGTAGGCCAAGGTGTGAGCTTGGGGTATTTCGGTAGGCCCACGCACTGCGAGGCATCCATTAAATTGAAATTCGTAGTTGTTAATCTCAACCTTAGGCTTAGCACTATTGGTTACAGCATTGGACTTCCATTAAACAGATTCGCGGATCGAGGCCAACAAGAGACACTCGAGCGAAGGATCACGGCTGGAGGAGATTAGGGGGTTGAGGGCCCTGTGGGACTATCCGCCTTGGTTCTACCGGTCGGTCTCGAGTACGGATCCGACCGGCGGGACCAAGAGGGTGCCAACAAGTTCCCTGTCTTTCCCCCTCTTCGTGAGGCTCTCCCCATTTTTATTTTTATTTTTGTTATTTTATTATACTTTTTATTTATATTTATATATTTATCTTTATTTTACCCTATTAATAAGGTCCCGTTTTTTTACCGGCCCCGATTCTGGCTCGGGGACCGATGGTGGAACCGGCGGGCCTGCTCTAGGTCGTACGTCCGCGAACTGCTGAATTGAGGACGTGAGTTCGAACCGGGGKGGAACTAACTGGGTAAATATACCCAAGGCTAGATACTTGCGAGAACCGATAGCGAAGAAATACCGCAAGGGAAGGACAAAGAGAACTTTCAAAAGAGACTCAAGAAGGGGGTTTGAAATTATTGAGCGAGAAAGCGGACAGAGATAAGTTGAGTTGCACCACCTGGCTCGGGTTGAACGACGACTGCCTTATCGCCTCCCTGTGGGGTGTCTGCCAGCATGGGCTATTGTTCCCAACATTGCAGTAGGGAGTGATTGAAATCCCCATAGTTGGCCGTCACGGGAGTCGAGGACCTTGAGCACGAGTCTCTTTTGGCGAGCCCGTTCAGATTTCCTGCGTGTTCAGGATGCTGGAAAAATTCCTCTATCATACCCGTCTTGAAACATGGACCGAGGGGATCAACGCGCATGAGAGTTAGTGGTTGTATACCCCATAAGGCAGAAGCAACCTGTGTGGCAGGAACCGCCTGTAGGTGCACCGTCCTCCAGCCACAATCTAATGTGAGAGGATTCAAGTGTGAGCAAGCTTGTTGGGACCCGGAAGGTGTTGAACTCTGCCTGAGCAGAGCAATGCCAAAGGGAATTTTGGCGGAGGCTCACAGCGATGTTGACATGCAAATCGTTCATCGGACTTGGGTATAGGGGCGAAAGAGTAATCAAACCAGTTAGTAGCGGACTCCTTCCAAAATTTCGCTCAGGATAGCGGGAGCCGTGGAACGGGCCCGGCTACGCAGAAGTGTCGCCAGGTCATGCGCTACATGTTGCGATATATTTAGGAGGAAGCAAGGTTGCACCCCAACTGACCGCCAACGCCGACCGCCGACCTGTAGGGCAGACCGGTTGGCGGTCCGCAGACCAGTCAGAAAACAGTCATCCCCTGTTTTTTTTTTTCAATCTGAGCATACGTCTGAAATTCGCTTGCTGAGTACAACCCAAATCCATTGACAAATTCTGGTTCCTGTGTTTTTCTTTTCGAGGGGTTGGGTTTGGGGGGCGGGGGTCTGTAGCGGAATGGGGGTCTATAGGGGAATGGGG